ACAAGAAGGAAAGAAAAAAAAAAAAAAAAAAAAAAAAAAAAAAAAAAAAAAAGAAAAAAAAAAAAAAGACAATTAATATCCAACAATGATTTTCATCCGACAATGATCTACTTTGAGCTGTTGTCGGATGGTTGTGAGAACCCTTACAGTGAACAAAGAAATATTAATATGATACAATGGCTTCATACACATTGTATGTTTGTACGATCTATACCTCTATATTCAAGTAATCTAGCCTTTTTGCTCTATACCCCCTCAATTTGGGAAGAGTGATCTTCTAGAGACACATGTAACGGCAGTCTAAAATCTACCCAAACTTAAAGGCGTAAAAATATTTAATATAAAATCGGTAAAAAAAAATCAAAAACAGTTCTGTGCTTAAATATTCATTAAAAAAAAAAAAAAAAAACCCAGAACGATATTTATTAAATATTCAAGGATTATTAACTAAAAAATGTCCATGTCCGAAGTTAGAAAACAAGAATTAGCGAAAAAAAGAGAAAAACTTCTTCAACTCCGGAAAGCTAGAGAGGAACGAAAGATTACTCCGGCGCCGGCAGAATCAACCGAAAAAGTAATTGTTTATTATTATTTTTGAATTGGACAAAGTTCGATTGATTTTTGATCATTTGGACTTTATCTGTTTCTTTTGAAAAAGTCAAAAAAAGATGAACTAGATGCTCTTCTCGCAGATTTGTTGCCAAAACAAGAACCTAAAACAGAAGCACCAGAAAAACCAGTTGAAAAAGAACCAACGCTACCTCCTGATTCAATTAGAATTGACAATCTTCCTCCAAACTTTATACCTAGGTAATTCTTTTCAATTGTGATAATCTTTTTTTTTTTTTTTGTTTTTAATCAAAAAAAAATTTTTATTCTTTTTTCATTTGCAGCGGTCCGGCGACACCTACCGTACCGACGCGATTCGTCCCAGATTTCACTACTTTTGAAGCAGTTATATTAGATATTCCTCCAAAGGTGAATAAATGAATAAAAATAATGATAAATTTTGTAATTCTGACAAAATGTAATTTCAATTCGACAACTCGACGGTATTAACAACACGGTTTAAAACATTTATTAGGAAATTGTGCATTATAACAAAGAAGTTCAAACTGCCGCTACGTCTTTCGAGGAGCCACCACCCTCTGAAGAAGAAATTCGTGAAAAAGTGCGACTAGAATTTGAAGAGCAACTAAAAGCAAAAGAAGCAGCTGCCGCAGAGTTACGTGCTAAGCAAGAAGCGGAAAAGAAAAAAGAGTTAAAACTTCTCGGTAATATTTTGTATCCGTTTTACTTGTCGAAAAAAGTAATTGCTAATTATATATTTTTTTCAATGATTTAGAATTATCAGATGCAGAAAGACAGAATATCATCAAGTCTCCAGAATTTGAAGAATTCATTGCACATTCTTCCCTAATGGTAGAACGGGTTTTATGTGAGAATTATGATTTCATGAAAGATTATGTGTTCGATGGAGCAACGTCGAGGTTAATTTTTTTCTCCCAAGAGATTAGTTCGCCTTTACTACGTGTTGTACCAATGAATTATAATCATTTTATTGTAGTGATGAAAAAGATGGTGTACGTGTCAAGCATTCATGTTCATTTTATGATGATCGATGGAGCAAAAATCGATTCGTTACTGATGTTAATTGGTCACATAAGGTATATTCCATTTTTTGTTAATGTAAATTGACTGTTCAAATTCCTGACCTAATTTGTCTCGGATTTTAATTGCAGAATCCTGAACTGTGTGTTGCATCATACAACAAGAATCCTTATAATATGAATGACCCAGATGGTGTTGTTTTAATATGGAATTTGAGATTAATACAACGACCGGAATTCGTTTTTCATTCGCAAGTATGATATTTAACATATAATATATTTTTTTTTTTGAGAAATAAATACACATTATAAATATCAATGTGAATTTTAGTCGGATGTTTTGACAACAATGTTTTCTGAATTTCACCCGAGTTATATCATTGGTGGAACTTATTCTGGCCAAATCTTAGTTTGGGATATGAGAGCAAAATGTTTACCTGTTCTCAAGACACCACTCTCAACTGCCGGTCATACCCACCCAGTTTATTCGATGCAGATGGTTGGTACACAAAACGCACACAATCTTATCACCGCAAGTACAGATGGCATGGTGTGCTCTTGGCAGCTAGAAACACTACTTCAACCGACGGTAATTACATTCTTGCGTATGTCAACTGTTTTTTATCCTAGTCTTCATCCTCTTTTTTTTTTTTTTTTCCTTAATTTATTTAGGAAACCTTAGAATTAGTTCATTCAGGACACAACAAAACTGATGAAGTTTCAGTTACATCTTTTGGTTTTCCAGAAAATGAAACCTCAACTTTCTGGGTTGGAACAGAAGAAGGCAATATCTATCAAGCGAATCGATTCGGGCATGCCGGCGGGTATGTTCTCTATTTTTTTTTTTTTTTTTTTTTCGAATCAATTTCTTTTTTATAATAATAATGATTAAAACTCTTAAATAAATTTCAGAAAAGCTGGCATTAACCAATATGACACTTATAAAGGACATTGGGGCCCAGTAACCGGATTTCATTTCCATCCTCTAGTCGGACCTGTAGATTTCTCGGATCTATTTTTAACTTCCTCAGTGGATTGGACAGTGAAACTATGGAAATCTAAATCAATTTCGAAACCGTCTGCTACAGCACAAACTATCTCTCCATTATACAGTTTTGAAGGAACAGATGATTATGTTTATGATGTTAAATGGTCACCTACTAATCCCGCTCTTTTTGGTTCTGTTGATGGTAAAGGAAACTTTGCTGTTTGGAACTTAAACGATGATACTGAGGTGAATATTATTTTCTGAAGATTTTACCGGTAAATGATTTCGTATTTAATGTTAACCGACGGATTATATGTTTTTAGATACCAGTTGTAAATACTCAAGTCGGTAATCGTGCATTGAACAAACTCCAATGGGATAAAGAAGGAAGAAGGGCGGCTATTGGATCATCAGATGGACGTGTTCACATTTATGATGTTGGAGAGGTATTTATTTATCTTGAATTAATATTAATACAATTTTATAAACATGCTAATAAATTGTAATTATTGTTATTATTAAGTTATGTAATCCAAGAGAAGATGAGTGGGTTAAAATGCAAAAAACACTTTCAGAAATGAATGATTCTGGAGAATCGGTTGTGAAAACTGCAAAATAAAATAATTAAAAATAATTTAGATATCTGCATTAGATTTAAAGATTTTCGGTAAAAGGAAATGGGAAATGGGTTTAAATTGAGTGTAAATAATTTTTTTATTTATTAAAATATCTTAAAATTTTTGAATGTACTTTTCGCATAATTATATTAAAATTGTTGAAAATCATGAATATCTCGAGCAACCCTTGAAAAAGAACTATTTAAGGTTCCAATAAATATTCCACCATTAGAAACAACCAACATATCCACAAAGGGCATGAAAAGGCTATATAAACTATGGTTATCAAAATCATTATACAAATCACGCAAAGGCTCTAAATATCTTTTAAAGTCTGACAATGTAAAAACGCAAGGATTAAAATTAGAATAAATCTTTTTAAAATTTTGTTTAGGGTTTTTGCTATCTGATGCTATATAGATTACGGGTGATTTCTTGCTTTCTAAACACTTTGAATTTAACAAAGTCTTTGAACTGTTTAGTAGATAATAATTATCCTTCATAACATTTGGATATTCCTTCGAATCACTATAAGGTTTTTCTAACCATTCTTTCGTTTCACTAACTAATCTGTTAAACATCGAATCAATAAGTTGTTCTTTAAATTGTATAGATTTAAAACCTCCATCACCAACCCTTATATGAATGCCAATAAAGCTTTTTCGTCTACCTAATTCTTCAACTATTTTTTTAACACATTCTTCCAATGCCATATGTCCAAATTTAAAGTTAGCAAGTAATCCATAATATAAATCAACATTTTGTCGTTGTTCTAAAACAAGCCTGTCGAGACCAAATGTGGATCCTAAGTGTATTAAAGTTTCTGGACGAGATTTTAAATTTGAAATGAAATACTTTTTTTGATAATGATAACCAGCTTCAATATTCGTATCATCTGTATCAAAATATTGAAATTCATAGCGAATCTCTTCAACAAAATAATAAGTGTCTTTTGTAGTAATGTTGAGAAATTTTTCTAGAGTCTGTAAATTAAAGTCATAACCGCGATTAATTACTCGAATGTGTTTTCTTACAAATGTGAAGTCAAATAGATTACTCCAATTCATTAATGAAAATGAATCATAACGGTTATATTCATCCGAGCAAAATATTGTATGATTAGTGGAACATAATAATCTAGCTTTCTTGATTGTAGCTGATTCGTTAAGGGTTTTATAGAGTTTTTTACCCTTGTGAGGAATTTTAGCAAAAAGTATCGGTGGAATGATTAATGTTCTGTTTGTAATATATGACAGTATTATAGCATTTTTTAAAGAAGTAAGTTGATTGCTAAATCCACTATGAGGAAGATACGTTAAAAATTTTTCACCATGGTCTAAATTATTAACGTTTGTTATATCTTCCAAGTCGTTAATGTTGGTTGTATCCTTTAGTTCGTCAATTTCAAAGGTAGTTATATTCTCTGCATCTTCAACGTTGCTTATATTCTCAAAATCTTTTGATATATTTTTTAAAGCTTTTATATTCTTTAAATCAATGGATTGATTATTTAGATTTTGCTGGATGAAAGGTCCTGATAGAAATGAATTTATTACAAAATCTATCATGTAAATAAGTAAAATACATATAATAATCCATGAACATTTAATAAGATATTTATTTGATGCAAACGAAAACAGCATATTCCTTTGTACTTTTGTTGGAAGCGAGTATAATTCAAGATTATTTGAAAGTATATGTAGTAAAAATGTGTGTATAACAATAAAATAACTAAAAAGGCTTTATATTTATACAAACTCCTTGTTCGACCTGTAGGGTTCTGTAAGTGCTGATACGTTTGCTGATACGTTGGTTATGCGAATGGAGCTTAAAAAACTAGTATCCATTGGCTCAATTCAAAGCTCCGTTGGCTCCATTCGCAGCTCCATTAACTTCATTGCCAACCCTGGTTGGGGTGGTCTAATCTCATTAGAAATATGAAAACAAGATTTTTTACTAAGAAAATCGAATTTCATCCACTAAGTTATTGGAAAAGCCGTTTTTTAGATACCTTTAAATTTTGATGCGATTTGATTAATTTTTCATTAATTGATTTCACATATGAAAATTGATTATTGTGCTTTGCCGCGTGAGAATCGGAGATTTATAGCGATTGCAAAGAAATATGAATGTAACCGCTCGAAAATATAAATAGACAATCTAAAATCTCCGAAATTTCTCCGACCATAATCACAAAAATCATGTGGTCACATCTTTTTGCAAAGCGCTATAATGAAAATTTAACTAAATCGCATCAAAATTGCATTTTCAATAACTTGGTGGATAAAGTTCGATTGGCTTAGTAAAAAATCCTGTTCTGTGTAAAACGATTATTTGCTAAAGAAAATTGTTGTACATTACCGTATGAGTGGATTTGACTCCATAACATTGTGGTTTGGGGATGGTTAGGTTGGGTTGATAATCAATAGCAACATTACCCTCCAAATGTAAATATTTAACTTTTTGAAGGATAATAAATGTCGCGGCTGAAGCTGAAAACAGCTGAAGCTGGAAAACATAAACCCTACCAAAATCCACTTATACATTTTTTATTATCAAAACTAACCCTAAATCCTAAGCTAACTATGAAAAAAAAGCTAAAAAAAATGCACCCCAAAAATTTTTAAAAATTTCATATCGATATTAAAATATTTAAAATTTCCAGCTTCAGCCGCGAAAATAAATAATATAAAACTACTACGTATCAAAGTCGTTTTCTTTTTATGATTAATTTAAAGTACATTTGATGAAGTATGAATCTTATAAATATTATAAATAATTATCTCTTTTCTGAAACTTTATTAATAACTATTCTTAACTGCGCCATTATACCTCCCGATGTGCTGTGATCTATATTAATAAAATACTTTTGGAGATTTAACACTCACTCTTTACTGCATTTACTGCATTCGTAACAAAGTTACGTTTTCAGATTTTACATACCATAGTACGTAGAATTTTCAATTAAAAATATATTTCTAATTGGTAAGTTATATATAGGGGCATCCATAATTTACGTTAAACTTGTATTGTTGTTATGGGGATTTTAAAGATAATACGAAAATAATACCATATCGATATGATAGCCACCCAAAAAGTTTCGAAAATCATGTGATATTGTCAATTCATCATGATTAGGATTATAATATTTATAAAATATTAATTGATTTAGCAAATGATTTTTGTTCTTCGATTCTTCAAAATGAAAAGCGATCGTTG